AATTAGAAAATACCTCCCAAGAGAATGATTAGAAAACCAGACCCGGGCCGGATGCCGCTGACAGGTCCGGTGAGACTTACAGGATAAGTGGGGAGCCACAAGGAAACACCCTACCGGGGCGCTACCTGCTGAACTTCCGATGTAACGTTTTGGAGAAGAGCATACTATATTTTGAAAAAGGAATAGGTTTAAGTGTAGAGTCTAAGAAAACCCGCTCACTCAGCGTCCTGCCCCGCACTCCTGGGCGAAACCCTAATCCTGCCCAAAGTCCTTGGGGACAGAAGGGACCAGGATTTCCGGGAGCCTAGACTTGCGCCCCCCTGGGACGGTGGGCCCTGCGCTGAGATGAATTCAGGTTCCCGAGCCCAGCCCAGGGAGAGCCGGTGCTTCTCTCCCCCGGTGTGCTGATGGCCACGAACTAAACTTCCAAATCTGGGGCCCAGCGGCGCTCAGCCTGCCCCTGCTTTCTCCTGGTGCTTCTTTCATTTGACCTTTCTCCTCCCTGGGGTTTGATTCCCCGTGGAGGTGGGAGAGTCATTACCGCCTCTCCATCGACCTCCTTTGATGTCTGTGATTTCTGATTCCAGGGTCCCAGGCGGCTCCTTTATCTCGCCAGGCCTCAGCTTTCATCTGGGCTTTACTGGAAGTCTGGTCTCCGGATACTCCCGCTTTAGGCAAATTTAACTTTCACCTTTAAACAAATGCCATTTGTGCGCCAGGTTTTCTTCCATGAAATTTTTCTTTCAGTCTCTAAGGGATACAAAGAAAGCAGAGGACTTGCAAGATTCTCTTTCTTTGTTTTGTACCCACTTTTCCTTCACATCTCCGGACAATTCCCGGGCAGTGAAGGGCCCGATGCTCCCTTTGCCGGCTGAGAGAACAGAGGGGACTGGGAGCTGACAGGCTTGGGTGCTGAGGCCGGCACGTCACTGCGCTGCCAGGGTCTTCCTGCCTCCTTGCGCCTGGCCGCCTGAAAAGCGAGGACCGTCTCCCATTCTGCTCCAAAGAGGGCCGGCCAGTGACCATGAACTCCTTCCCTTTCTTTCCCCCTCTCCCTCCATTCATTCTGTGCTAAATGTTTCCAGGGCATTAGTACATTTAATCCTGCAGACCCCATTACTTGCTCCCTTTCTATAGATGGGGAAACTGAGGCACAGCGAGGGAAGTAACCTGCTCAAAGCCTCACTGTAAGTGGTGGGGCCAGGATTCGCACTCGCTCCCCCTCACCTGGGAACCACTGCCCTGGAAGGTTGATGACTGTCAGCCACCCTTTCTCCGCGACACCCCTCTGGAGGCTAAGTGATGCCGGAGGCCCCACTCTTTCCTGCTTCCGAACTCTCCAGATCCAGACCAGCTTCTCCATGGTCCGACCCCGGAGGTGGCGAGCCTGCCGCTGGTCTTTCTTGGACGCGTCCTTGCCCTACAGGTTCCAAGTCCTAAACTTGCTCCAGATCAGCCATTCGCCCTGTGCTCAGGGAGCACGAAGGCTCCAGGCAAGAAGAGCAGGAACCTGGACATCTCACCCACCAACAGAGGGAGAGATTAAAACCAACCCTGAGAATCACCGATGCTAGAGGTTCTTAGTGATGAGCACAAAGGGCCCCTTCGAATGATTTCAGTGAAAAGGAGGGGACATGACGGCTGGCTGGAGAACTCGGCTTGCAAATGGCAGCAATGGGGCAGGGGGAAGGTGCAGGGCCACGCCCACAGCCGCCCGGTGTTAGCTCTGCTGCCAGCTGCCGCGCTGGAGCCCCTCCTGCCGCTGGAGGTTGGACGAGGGAGCTGCCGCTGGCGTCCTAGTACCTGACTCAGGCTGGGCCAGGTATCTGACCATCAAACCTAGGCCACAGCCCCGCCCTGGCTGCAGGGGGACGTTTCGGCCTTTCTGATCTTGGCGACTCACCAGGATTTGAATGGCATGGCCTCCAAACACAGGAAGGTTAGACGCTGGGCAGCCCGTCATCACAAAAAATGTCCACCACGGTGTTCATCCAGTTAAGAATTTCCCATCCCCCTGACATTGCAGATGAAGATGAATCCTAGCCCGGCTGGGTGTGGCTCAGCAGTTGAGCATCGACCTAGGATCCAGGAGATTGCGGTTCCATTCCTGGTCAGGGCACATGCCCCGGGGTTCTGGGCTCGATCCCCAGCGGGTGGCCTGCAGGAGGCAGCCGATCAATGACTCTCATCATTGAAGTTTCTCTCTCTCTCTCCTTCCCTCCTCTCTCCTTCTCCCTCTCTCTGAAATCAATAAAGATATATATATATTTAAAAAAAAAAAAAAAAGATGAATTCTAGAGGGAGAAGAGCTTTCTTCATGAAGACTTTTGGCCAAGGCAAATCAGTTTCATCTCCTGTGAGAAAACCAATGAACTGAATTCCTGCTGAATGGAGCACTGCCGGGGACCTTGGGGATTTGTCTGGCTGGGGAGCAGGGGGCCATGGTGGTTACGCTGTCCTACACTGTGGTTTTTAAAGCAAAACTACGTGTTTCCCGGGAAAGCCCGAGTGTGTCTCCTGGCCCCCTAGTTGTGCATGACTAAACCTACTAGCCCGTTTCCTGGGTTGGGCACATTCACTTTGTAAGATGAAGCATGAACGGTTCAGCACAAGGCTGCGGGTGTGCTGGTTCTAGTCCGGATGTTCCACACACTGTGCAGAAGTGTTACTGGGGAGACGAGAAGACCTCTGTTCTTGTCTTCTTGAGGGAAAGGCCTCAAGAGACAGTGTAGAAAAGAAAGCAAGAATTTATTGGCTGCAGCAAAAATATACTTAGGACAGTGAAGCAAGGAAGGGCATAGAAGAACCAGGAGAGCCCAGGCTGGGCTGCTTTGGCCACTGAGAAGTCGGAGAGAAGGGGCCTTCCAGACAGGTTCAAGGGGTAAGCCTGGGACGAGCTGCCGCTGCCCATTGCTCCCCTGGTTGCAAGTCTCATGGGGGCCCTATCAGAGGGGCGATCATGCCACTGTGCTCTCCTGGGGTGTGGAGGTGGGAAGCACACACTGGGTCCTTTGTCCTGAGTGTATTTATCTCTTTCTTGCAGGTGGGAATCTTAGGGGAGGTCTCAGGCAAATGTCTCAATAGAATATTCATCAGCTTTCCAGGTGTGTCCTTTAAGGGTCGTGGTCTCCACTGATGGGTCAGTGCCAGGACAGGGGGTCATTAGTCAATGTAGCTGGTCCTGGGGCAGCCACAGCCCACTAGTCTGGTTTTGTTTTGGGCCTGGAGCTGAAATACAACTGAGGCCTAGATGTTATTTTTTTATATATCTTTATTGATTCCAGAGAGGAAGGGGGGGTGGGGGGAGACAGACAGACAGAAACATCAATGAGTCATTTATCGGCTGCCTCCTGCTCACCCCCCAAGCCCAAAACCCGGGCATGTGCCCTGACCGGGAATCAAACTTCGATCCCCTGGATCCTAGGACCACGCTCAACTGCTGAGACACACTGGGCCGGGCTAGGTGTTATCTTTAGGGAGAAAACGCTCAGGGGGTCCAAACTGCATGACCAGGGACATGCTGGGAGAGGACAGGTTACCCTGGGGACAAGGTTCTTTTTCTTAGCTTCAGCCCTTGCTAGGCATCCTGGGTACTGCCCCGGTGTTTCTGTACCTGGCCCACTGTCCTTACTCATGTCTGTAACAGCAGCACGGAGACTCCTCTGCCCAGCAAAGGCCTGTTGGAACCTCCTGGGCATGGAGCAAGGAAATAGTTAAACATCGGTTCCTTCCGTGGCACAGCCAGGATTTGGAACTTACTTCCCAGGACAGAAGCCTGTCTTATACAGGCAGAGGCCCTGTTACTTTTCCAACAGAAGTCCAGAACTGAAAGACACACTCTCCAGGCCTAGAAATAGCTTGGCTATTTCTCTATGTAGCTGCACCGATCACGTTATTTGGAAAACATAATTGTCTGGCACCTCTCCACCTTCGACTGTAACCACGCTCCCGAGGGACTCAGCCACAGGCATGTGTCCTCTGCACTGTTCCTAACAGGCTCCAACTCACGGCGACTTAGTGTCATCCACACGCCCTGTTGTTCCCTCCACCAGACACCCAGTGCAAAATAGCAGCCTTGAAAACTAATCGACTTGACAGTTGCCTTAGGCAGGTGCTGCAGGACTGGAGCACTTTCCAAACCCTGGGTCCAATCAGAATCCCAGGGGATCGACTGCCAGAGTTGTCTGTGCTCCAAAAGCCTAGCTGGCTCAGGATTTGATGGGTCCCCATACCTGACACTGTGGGATCCAATTTTTCCTGTAGAAAGTATTAATAAACATCCAATGATGGCACTTTGTCCTAAGCACTGTACCTTAGGTCACTCAATTCCCACCACCTTGTAGAGTAGGGTTATTAGTTTTACTCATTAACAGGCCCAGAAAAGTGGGAGGCACAGCTGGAATTTAAATCCATGCATCTGGTTCCAGAGCAGTCATTTAACCCCCACATACTGTTGAATAAATGAGATCCTTTTTTGGGTCTTGACTTACAATAACCTGGCCTGTTAAGACGAAAATAAACTCGAGAGAGAGCAATGACTTACCGTTTGCAGCCCAGAGGAACAGGTTTCTTTCACATGTAGTGGTCAGCCTGCCTGCTAGTCATGCTCCCTAACCTTCCCGGCTAACGCCACTCAACCCTGTCAACAGCTGCACAAGCCACCAGCAGCTCTGCTCTTAGCCCAGGAACCAAGGCGGCCTCCTTGTGCAGGTGAGCCTTGCAGCTGGTGCTGCTCTGACCTCGTATCTGTTTCTAGCACTGGCTCCCTCACATCTGAACCCTGGCCAGCTGGGTCAAGTCTGGGTGCGTGGACACCCCTATTCTGGACCATCCTGCCAGCAGAATCTGAGATCTCAGCAAGCACCTGAAGTAAGCTGTTTATTATGGTAGAAACAATCTTTCCACCTTCTCTTAGACACGCAGAAACAAGGAGAGCCAGTCTGGGACAAGCAGGTATCTAGAACCCAGATCCAGGCCAATAGTGCATACGAAACACAAAATTGATGTAATTATTTAATGAGATGGGAAAATAAAATAACATTATGAAACAAGCTGGTCACAAATAGTGGGTAGACGATTTCACTTCTGATAAAAAATTAAATGTATGTATACAAAACACTGGAAGGTTATACACCAAAATAATGCAGTCTACTTCTGTTCAGTGATTATTTTTCCCTTTGCTTTTGTGTTTTTGAAACATGATTATTTCTGAAACAAAAAAGAAAAGCAAGCTACTAGGTAGAGAAACAGTTGTTAAATGTCATGAGCCCAGCAATCAGGGTCTGGACCCAGGACAGGCTGCTGCGGTGATGGTGACAGGGCCAGCCGTGGAACATCACTTCTTCCTCTCCCTCTGGGACGCTCTTCACCCGACGGTTTCCTCTCCACCTGATGTTCTCAGTGTACTTGTATTTAACAAGTCTATAAATATTAACGGACACAAGAGCAAAATGATGCTAGCAACCCTAGTTTTAAGTTGCTATAAAATGTAATAACCATTTGTAGTTACGAAACACACTAAAATAAAACATAAAACACAGATCAAGAGCTCCCACAACAAAAAAACCACATGACTAAACTCTGCTGACTTCTGTTCCTGTTTCATGGATCTAGAAGAGGCATTTTTTCTCAAAAAAGATGTTTTGCCTGCTAAGGGCTCCACAGAGTTGGAAGGCTCACTAAACCCCAAACAACCTAGAACAAGTTTGAATGAGGCACGTCACCACATTGTCCTTTTTTTCAAGGACTTTGCTGAATTACCACGTGGAGAACAGCAGACTATTATACCTACATAGGTGTAAACGAGGCTCAGAAATCTCCGCTCTCCCCCAACCCCAATAGAACTGCTGCGGCACTTTATTCAAATCTAACTCATACTTCTTGCTCTTAAAACAATAAAATGGGGAAAGGCTCAGTTTTAAAACCAGGCAGATATAAAAATCGATGCCACCTTTAGTTGAAGGTGCTTCTCAGGTATTTCCAAAAGCTCTCTGCCCTCTTACATGGCAGCATTTACACGAGAGGTCAAGAACTACCATTAAGGTCCAAGAAACAACAAAAACAAACATACAAAATGAACTGAGGCAGTCTTCTACATTGTCACCATCACACCACCTCCTGCCCAGTGTACCAGGTCACCTGCCTTTTTCAGCAGGCTGCTATAGCAATCCACGATGCAAAAATCTTTGGACACCAGGAAAGGTACAAAAAAGAATTAAATGACAAATGAGAGGGGAAAAACCTTAACCTTAAAATATTGTATAATCACAAGAAGGACTGAAAGATCCCTTTGTGTTGTCCTTGGGAAATTAAGAAAAACTGAACTCGTTTTATAACCCAAAACGAGACTTGCTGGAAATACCAGTGCTCGGTGCTTGCAACCCAAGTCAGTTTATATTCTTGTTAGATCGGCCCCAACCCTGCATTAAAAAACTCCTGTTAGAGCAAGGAAAACAATTCATCTCAGGACTAAGCTCGGGAAGAAGGCAGGCTGGCGTCTTCAGTGAGAGAACTGCCTGCGGTCGGAAGGCTTCTTGCTAATGTGCTTGAAGATTTTGGCCTTCTCGACTTTCTTGGGTTTCTGGTAGCCGAATCCGCCGCCGCCGCCTCTCTTCTTCAGCTTGCCGTCGTTGCTGTTCACGTCTAAAGGTCCATGTTAAGGACATCAAGCAACACAAAGATAAAACTCCAATCTAACGTCAACACGGACACCAGGCAGCAGGCAGTGTTGTCCCTCCAACCCTCCCTGATTCACGGAAACCTGGGAACAGGAGCCTACTCAACACATTTCCAGGAAACTAGGAGTGTTCATGGGATCGTGGACTAAAAGTAGCAGGAAATGGGTCAGTATTTTCTCCTCGCAATGAAACTCCAGACAATTACTTATAAGAACTGAAGAGGTGAATCAGCAAGTTTACAGGAACATAAAACATAGTCCCTGTGTCAACACGAATGCCTGTCACCTGTGCTCGGGCCGACACAGGAACACTTAGGTAAGCGGAGGGTTCTTCTCCCCATGTGAGTCAACATGCAGGCACTTACTCAATGCCTACGATGGGGCACAACCCCAATCTGGTTTTCTCCTTTGGGAGTTAATGCCAGAGCGCCAATGAACAGGCCTCGCTTTAGCTGCTTCAGTTTCTTCTGTTGAAAAGTGATAATAAAGCACGTTATAAACTTTAACAGGAACAACTGGGGATAGTCCCTTTGCCTTTTATCTTGAGTAGCACTTAAGTTTTATTTTCTTTTGCTGATTCTGCAACTTCCTTGTATAAAATCCTGTAATGGCTCTGAGAGGACAGCAGCTCTGAAAGGCTCTGTCTTTTCTCTTTGGCTTCAGGGCGTCCTGTTCCTCCACAGACCTCACAAAGCTGCCTGAGCCCTGCAATCCCCCCGTGCCTCTCTCCAGACTGCAAAGCTCCCCTTAGCTCTCCCAAACCCCTATGACTTTTTTAAGGCCCAAGTCATAACCTGTCTTGCTTCTGTCACCCTTACTCCATCACTAATCCCTGCCTGACAAGCAGGGAATGGAGGGGCTCCATTCCTCCATTCCCAGCCAGAATGTACGCCCGCCCAGTGCTAAGCCCACAAGCCCTGGCCAAGCTTTTGTCCTGTAATTCCTGCATGAACTCCTAATGACAAAGAAAAGGATACTCAGATCAACAAAAGGAGGCACCTTGAAACCAAACGACAGAGCAACCTGAGGCAAATTTAAGTTGTTCACGTTAAAGATCTGTTTCAGAGAGTGGGAATCATAAGCTCGAATGTATGATTTATATGCTTCCTGGGCTGACTTATGAAGGAAGTAGTTCTTTTCAATCAGTTTCTCAAGCTGAAATGGAAAGAAACACTGGTTTTAATAAAACAGATTTCATATATATTAAAAAAATCACCCTACGAAAACATCTGTCCCAACACCCTTGCTCCAAGCTTTGCGGTATTTGCAAAATCGTGCTGCAGTAAGAATAATTACAAAGCCCCCATGTGGCCTGGCCTGAAATGATAGAGCAGAGTGTGGTAACCAGCACAGCAAGACACCTGGATGACCACACAGCCCACACTTGTTAGTAATAAAAAGGGACACTAGGAGGACAACGACCGCCAATGGACCACCACAGAGGCAATGCTAGAAGGAGGCTGAGGCTGCAAAAAAAAAAAAGCATACCTGAGACTGAATGTCAGAAATTTTGGACCAGGAAAACTCAAATTCACTTAATGGAACCTGGAAAACAGATGCATGCAGATCAGTAAGCTGGATGGATCAATTCCCAGGTGTAGATGATGACAAAGCGAGAAGCTGACAGTATCGAAGGCACGAGTCAGTGACGCCCTCTGCTCTAAACAGGCTCCACGGTGAGGGCACAGCCTGAGCTTCCAGTGACAGGCACCACCAGCTCCCTCTCCACGTGGAGAGCTGCCCTACTGCAATACTGCCTCTGCCTGGAGTTTGTGACACCAGAGGTCACGACGACCACAAACTCCTACAGGACGGATTTCTTAGCAGCCACCACTTATCAGATAACTGGGAGAGTGCAGAGCTGTGCTGGGTGCTGGAGGAAAGCGCTGCCAAGTGTGGACCCTGCCCTCAGAGAGCCTGCAGTCCAGGGGAGCCAGACAATTGATGAGACAACTCGTTGCAACTCCTGCTGTGGGAACAGGGAGGGAGGAGGAGGTCAGGGCAGGCTCCCAGAAGAGACGGCAGCTCGCTGAAACCAGGGCAACCTAAAGAACCAGGAAGGGCCTTCCGGAGAGGAAGTGCTGTCTGCAGGGCAATTTCTGGGCTGCGCCTAGCTGCTGATGGAAGAAAATCCACCCAGCAAGACTGTGCTGGGCAGCCGACAAGGAGGCAAGTGTCTGGGGAGAGAGGCCTGCTCGGTAGTCACCAGACCCAGCAACAAAGAGGCTACTTACAATTCTACTGAATTCAGGTTTGGGGGGATGGAATGAAGCCAGTGTCAGATGAGGGCGGGTGGACAACAGGGTGAGTGGAAAACAAAAGGAGAAAATATAAACCACTGTTCAAGACGGCAGACTGAAGGAAGGTACCAGGCAGTAGCCAGGCTGGAGGCGGTGGTAGGAGCGCAGGTTTAGGGTTGAAGTTAGAGCTAAATGCAAGGGAGAGGCCAAAGGTAAACCGGTGGACAAATGAGGGAGGGGAGAGGGAGAGGGAGGAGTGAACGAGGATCCCGCTGCTTCAGGCGAGGCAAGTGGGAAAGACTCAAGGAGAAGATGACGCGGACAAGGCTGACTGCAGGAAGGGGAGCCGGAGGCAGAGATGGGCAGGTGTGAGGGGGCCTAACAGGAGCAGAGGTGGTTTCAAACTGGCTGCAGGGAATAGGAGAGGAGACCAGGACACAGGTGCACTGCATAACTCTTCCTGTTCCCATTTCCCCCACAAAATCTCACTTGTTTAACCTCTGTAACAACTGTTATAAAAGCACTGCAATGACTTAGGACTCCTCGGACACTTCTAGAAACAGTGCTCAAGGCCATCTGCACTGGCCAACAATTCCTACCAAGGGGAGTCAGTTCCCAACTTAAGATTTTGCAAGCAAAGGTCTTTACCTTGGACTGCTTCAAGTAACGGAGGAAACCCAGTTCTTCAGGGCGCAGGATGAGCAGGGCATGCCCCCTCCCGTTCAGGCCTCTGGCTGTTCTCCCGACACGGTGGATATATTCCTTAGGTGGAGAGAGAACACCTGAGTTCGCGCTGACCTGCACAGGCACCGTGGCAGCCTGCACTTACAGGACATGCGTGGTGGCGGGCAGAAGCATGCCAGTACATCTTTGTAAGGTGGTGCCCCTCCCCCAGGCTGTTCTCCAAAGCGAGCCCACCATTCCTTCTCATTCCCTAACCCCAGAGATAACAGGCGATGACCAAAGCCTAAGGAAAGCTGGACATGATACTCATTTTAACTCTATGATCAAATAAAATGACCAGTAAGTATGCTTTGTCTTCAAAATGGCTTTTTAGCATGTTTAAATGTTGACTGACAATTTACATAATCTATTGTTTGTTGAAAATAATAAACTTATTTTACTACATATACTACAGTCTTATCTCTGAAAGCAAATTTTATTTCCTCTGACACCTACTGCTCTTAACAAATCATTCTAAGCATTTATCATTTCTAACTTAAGCCCCTGCTGGGTCCTGCAAAAGCCCTAAATACTATCAGTGCCAGAGAAATACTGCAAAGTCACCGTGCAGCAAAACGTGACCTGCATAACTACGGAATAAACTTCCGAATGTGAGATGCAGCCTGTCCCAGGGAGGCTGGAGTAAGTGCGCTCCTCACTGCACAGCCACTCAGATACCAGAGGAAGCAGTTACCTTGGGGTCATCTGGAGGGTCATACTGAACAATCCAGTCGACTTCAGGAATGTCCAGCCCTCTAGCCGCCACGTCCGTGCACAGCAATATCCCTGTGTCCGCATTGCAGAACTGGAAGAACGTGGTGGTACGTTTATTCTGCTTCTGCCTTCCCTAGAATCAAATCAAAACATCCATTAAAGCTAGAACCCTGAGGCTGTTTCTGGGAGGTCTAGATGGAGAACCCCCAGACTGTGGAGCTGCGAGCCTGCTTTAGCTCAAGTCCACTCCCTGACCTCCGCCCCATTTTGCCAAGTGGATGGCATGTCACCCCTCAACACCCAGCAAAGCTCCCTCCACACAGGACCAATCACTCAGTGTTGACTGACCTATATGTGAACCCCACAGACTACACACCTTGATAAGCACAACCTGTTTTTAATGAACTTTTCATAATCACTTACATGAATGGCCATGACAGGTAAGTCAATGTAGTTCAGCAACTCATAGTGGTATTTCACGGACATACAGGATGAGAAGAAGACCATTAGTTTCTTCTTTCGGTTCTTCTTAAGGAATGTAAAGAGCAGGAGGAATCTCTTTTCGGAAGGACAAACAACATATCCCTAGAAGTAGTTTGAATGAACAGATACAGTAACTAAACATTTTCAGCTGTGTGAGCCAATAATGTGACAAAGAACACAGGTAAACTCTGCACACACTGTCCTGCTTTACCTACAGTAAAATCACTGCCATCATAACAAAGCATTTCTTCCACAGCAATTAGAATTTAAGCTCTTTAGATTCCTTTAACATGCTGTAACCACTGGACACTAAATTCTTTTCATATTTCTGAAATTACTGGTTATCAATAGCTCTTGCAACCATAATATTAACACCTCTTCTAACCGTAACTCTCCAGGTATATCAATGATTCATTTTTTGAAAGGTCTTTAATAGCAAGATCTCAAATAACCACAGCTTAAGTACACAGTCCGAAACAAGGTAACAAAGCTGGGTGAATATATTTTTAAAAACTAAAGAACAATGAAAGGTTTTTAAGCTAAATTGTTACAGAAAATATTTTATTCACGGAAAGTCTGGATCCTCAAGTTCTACTTTTAATAAAGTGAGTTTGGATCTTTGTCACCTCATTTCCAACTTTCCACAGCTACATGCCTGAAACCAGTCTCTCCACTTTCTAACTCACCTCTCAGAGTAAAAGATTATTAAAGTTTATTTTACCGCATCAATAAACAGTAGTGGTTAATGACGCTTCCTATGTGGCAAGTGGTATTAAGACAGAAAGAGAGCTAATTAAATTATTCAAGGAGTTCAAGATACTTTATACCAGGAGAGCCAGAGACCCCAAACTCAAGTTCACTGTATTTGAATTAAAGGTTCAACAATCCGCCCGCTTTCTGGAGGACACTCCAATAACAAGGAAACACCAAACAAAAAACCACCACCCCTTGAAACTTAAGGTACTGACAATCATACCTGCTCAAGACCATCCACTGTTGCGTTAGTTTTATCATCATCAACACCAACATACAACGGCTCCTTTTTCAGAGAAATCCTCGCCAGGTCCTCAACTTTTCGAGTTTGTGTGGCAGAAAAGAGCATAGTCTGTCTGCGTGCTGAAACAGACACACGTAAAAATAACCTGAATCCTTCAGGGAATTCTTAGAGCTGCTTCACAACTACGAATGCTCCCAAGTAGAACTATCAAGAATAAGAGACGCGATAAGACCAAAGATATTAAGGGGACACCATGAAAAACTTTATGTTCATAAATTTGACAACTTGGATAAAATGAAGTTTCCTTGAAAGACAAACTGCTAAAGCTCACTCAAGAAGAAACAGAAAACTTGAATAGCCTGTATCTATTAAAGAAATTGTACTTATATATAAAGAAAACTCCATCCCCAACGGTCTCCAGTGTTAAGTTCTATCAGACATTTAAGGAAGAAATATTACACCGATTCTTCACTAGTTCTCCAGGACACTGAAGAGAATTTACTTCCTCACTTATTCTTTGAAGCCAGCCATTACCCCAGTAACAAACCAATGACTCATGAGCATAAATACAAAATTTCTAAACAAAACTTTAGCCAAGTGAATCCAGCCATATATAAAAAGGATAAGGCATGATGACCAAGTAGGGTTTATTCCATGAATGTAGGGTGGGTGGCTTTAACACTGGAAAATTAACTAATACAACTCACCACATTAACAAGCTAAAGAAGAAAAAAATCTCTGATCATTTCAACAGACACAGAAAAAGCTTTTGACAAAACTTAACATCTATTTCTGATTTTAAAAATCTCAGCAAACTAGGAACACAGGGATCATCCTCAGTCTGATAAGGGGCATCTACAAAAAAACCTACAGCTAACATCCTACTTCATGCTGAAAGACTGAATGCTTTCCCCTCTAATATCAGGAACAAGGTAGATACTTGTCTCCCTACTTCTATTCAGTATTGAGGTTCTCACCAGTGCAATCAGGCAAGAAAAATACTAAGTGAAGAATTTAATTTACTTTATTTGTAGATGACATGATTGCCTATGTGGAAAATCCAATGGCTAGCTTCATCTAAAGAGTCATATTGAACAATCTAGCTGAACACAAACAATTACCTTGCCAGACATAAGATGGATATACAAAAGTCAACTGTTTATGTATACAATATATAAACAATCTGAAACTGAAATTTTAATGAAATACTTAAGACATAAATCTGACAAAAGATGTGAAAAAACCTTACTCTGAAAACTCAAACACAGCTTAGAGAAATTAAGGAGCTAACACATGGAAATATACCTTATTTGTGGGTTGAACTGACACAATATGGTCTTCCACCAAAGATCTATATTCAATAAAATCCCAACCAACCAGATTGTTTTAGGGAGTAGAAACTGACAAACTAATTCTAAAATTTACATAGAAATGCAAAGGACTAGAATAGTCAGAACAAGTTTGAAAAAGAACAAAGGAGTTAATTTCAAGACTTAATAAGGTAAAACTGGAACTCTTGTTTGCTGCTGATGGGAACGTAAAACGGTACAAGTTAAATATACTAGCTCGCCACTCTACTCCTCAGTAGTTACCCAGGAGAAAAGAAAATATGTGGCCCTGGCCAGTGTTGCTCAGTGGTTAGAGCATCAGCTCGAGTACGAAGAGTTGCTGGTTCAATTCCTGGTCAAGGGCACATGCCTGGGTTGCAGGTTTGATCCCCGGTCAGAGCGTGTGTGGGAGGCAACCAATCGATATGTCTTTCTCACACTGATGTTTCTCTCTCTCCTTCCACCCTCTCTCCCTCTCTCTAAAAATCAATGGAAAAAATATCCTCAGGTGAAGATTAACAAAAAAATAGTAAAAAAACAATAAGAGAAAATACGTGACAATAAAAAAAGAGTTGAAGATGAATGTGTGTAGCAACTTCACAAATGTCTGGAAAATGCACCCTCACCTACAGTGACAGGAAGCAAGTCAATAGTTGCCTGGAAGAGAGGTCTGCGTGCAGCTGTTGGACATAGGTGAGGGTCACTCCGACTGAGGCTGAGAGGGAGGACAACAGTGCACGAAGACACTTCTGGGGGTTACGGAGATGTTCACTATACTGACGTGATGATGGTTTCACATGTGGAATGGGAAAATTTATCAAACTGAGTATTTAAAATATGTACAAAATATGTACATAAATGGAATAATGGCATTATAGATACAAGCAGTTTATAACATTGCAAGTACTCTAATCAAGGTATGTACAACTCAAACATCACACAGAAGACAACAAGTCTGGCTAGAAGGCTGAGAGATGTTAGATGAAGAAAACGTAAGATGGGGTGGTGGGGGCAGATTGGAACAAGCATACGTTTGGACTGTCTGACTTGCATTAATCCTCTAACACGGCAAAACCACCGTATTAAGCTACTAGAAAGTTTTACCCTTATATTGAAAATTACCTCTAAAGTTAATTGGCACAGCTACTTCACTTGGCTACATTAAAATTCTGCTACCAATAGTTTTCATATAGGAACAGCTCTGACCTGCTTTAACAACTACTTTGACAACCACATGCAGATGCTACCCACTTACTTGGCAGAAGTTTAATAATTTGCTTTAATTCCTCTTCAAACCCAACATCCAGGATACGATCAGCCTCATCAATAACCAGACACTGTAGGTTTTTATACATAAACCCTGGGGTATTCTAACAAGACAAAAGACAAAAAAATACTGTTAGCTGTCAAGTCTGTTTCATACAAGACAACGAGACAGTACACCACAATAGTGCTCTCTTACCTGCATATGGTCCAGAAGACGGCCTGGTGTGGCCACAATGATGTTGATCCCATTAGCAAGCTTCTGTGCTTCTGCAGACCTGTTGCTGCCACCCATGATCAATCCATAAGTGTGAACGTGGTGTGTCATCAGCTCTTTAAGAACACCGAACGTCTGCATGGCCAGTTCCCTAGTAGGGGAGAGAATAAGAACTCCTGTTCCTAAAAAGCAAATGACATATAGAAAAAGTCAAACTAATTATTGCCGTAAGTTTATAACTGCTGTTATCAACTTCTAGTGAGACAATGGCAGAAACAATCAGATCAAAGACTCACCATTCCTGGGCATAAACTTTAACTTAACAATGAGTTCAACTGCAGGGATGAGAAAGGCCAGGGTTTTGCCACTGCCAGTTTTTGCAGCTGCCAGAAGATCCCTAAATGTTAAAAAGAGAAAGGAGGAGAGACAGTGTTCTCACTTGATGATCAAGTACTTACTGGGCAGCTACAAGCAGGATGACATATGCTTTAGGCTCTAAGGCTAGAACAGGGTCAAGGAAGACAAAAGTTCCTACCTTCTCTATCACTGAAATCAACCACCTGAGTAAAATACCTAACTTGGAAATAAGAATCATGCTGTGAAACTGAAGTGAACACTTTTCTTCAAACATCAGGAAATAACTTAAAGCCTTTAATGCAGGCTGGATATGTAAACCAACACAGTGTAAAATCATAGAACACACTGGTATTTCCTTTCCAAACTACCAGCAATAAAAACACAGATGCCAATGGCCAAACATCAATGTTAATCATACCTGCCTTCCAGAAGTGGTCTGATGCTTTTATGCTGGATTTCAGTCATGTTTGTAAAGCCCATTTCTTTTATTGCCTTCAGAGTGTTCTCATTGACAAGATTAGATAAAGATGTAAATGAAGTATCCTCAAAAGCTCCTAAATGGAAGATAGTTTATTATTAGCAAACTTATAATTTTTAATGGTTAATGCAGCTGGAGTTGCCTAAATTAGTTTTGCTTACTTGAAGCACTACTGGGTTGGAGTCAAGCTTAGAAGAGCTTCATTCTCTAAGACTAACTCCCCACCATTCCTATGTAATATTACAAAAAAGACCCCACTCTTTGGAAATGTCTCCACTGCTGGTGGGCCAGAGCCCATACTTAAATTAATAATGGAGCGAGAGAAGTACAATCAAGGGGCCTGTATGAAATGAAAATGCTAGGGTGGGGGTGGGCACAGGAGTGCAGAGAAATAAAATGTTTAAGAAATCTGAAATAAAAAGTAAACATAATAAAGACCAAGTGTGAAAGAAATCATAAAAGTAGTCAATCTCACTCCCAAAGACAACCGAGTCAGATCTAGCTAGACTGCTAGACTGGACCTACACATCAGGTGTGTGTAGTTCTTCAGCAGGGAAAGCATCACCCCCTCAGGAGCTCCCTACTCCAACACCCCCTTACTATATCCCAGGTATTGCCAACCTTGGCACTACTGACACCTTGGGGTGGACAATTCTATTGTGAGGGGCTGTCCTATACACTGCAGGATGTTCTGCAGCATCTCTGACCTCTCCCCACGAGATGCCAGTAGCCTCTCCCCAGTTCTGAAAACCAAAAATGTTTGTTGGTGGCCAACCCTCCCTATATGCCTGGCACAAAGGAGGTTTATGAGATGCTGGACTTTCAAAGCTAAACCTGGTCAAGTTCTGGGCAAACCAGGATGAGCTAGTCACCCTACCTGGGAGACAAAATTGCTCCAGATGAGAATTATTGCCATCTTTGCAATTCTGATTGTGTAGGTCTGGGGTTGGGCCTGTCTTTTAAAAGAAAACCCAAACCAAAGCACTCAGTAACTCTTAGTCATTTTTGATTAGGAGCACCTAATTCTAGTCTAAACTCTTGAGTTTACTGATAAAGAAGCAAGGGCCAAAGTAAGTTAACCTGGCAGAAGTTTTTCGATAAAAATGTAAATTCCTTCCTCCCACTTCTTAGTAACTAAGCCAGTATTAAACCTCTGGTCTCCAGACTTCTGGGCCAATGATGTTCCCACTACAACAAGAAATGAGCTTTAGAAAGTGATAAACCAAAGGAACAAAGGACCCCAGAAGCTGTGTGCATTATTAAAATACTGTCAAGAATAAAGGAAAAACCAAAGAAAGAAACGACAAAAACTAAGGCACAAAATGTAGAAGATAAAGCGGCATTTAAGGTATTAAACATTTGTCAATACTTACTTCTTCCAGGTGACAGTCACAACTGAACCTTTCAATCTTATAATTCAGAGAGGTATGGTATTTTTAAGACCTATCTGGGAAACTCGCTAGACGTTACCTGTCAGTCCCAGGGGTAGGCTGGGCACTTCGCTGTCCTCTTCTCCATCGTCTGGCTTTTCCACACTGTCTTCTGTTTCTTCAGGAGCCTGGGCACCTTCCTCTGGTTCCACTTTGTCTTCAGGTTTTGCTTTTTTGGTATCTTTGATTTTAAAGAACAAAACCCCCCATTTTTTTTCTTTAAATAAAAATACCAAATGAGATCACAAAATAAAAGATGTGTGATGCAAAGAGGCCTATTTTCAAAAGCTTAACATATTTCCAGTTTTAATTTGCTAAGAATGTCTCTCTCATAATTAAAGATTTGGTTATATTTAAAAGCCCAGGGGGACATGCAGATTTGCTAACAAAATTTTATTTTTAGGATTCTTAATGCATTATACCATCGTAAATAACCAATTTCTTTTTAAAAAAATATTTTTATTGATTTTTCAGAGCAAGGAAGGGAGAGGGGGAGAGAGAGATAGAGACATCAATGACGAGAGAGTCATTGATCAGCTGCCTCCTGCATGCCTATTGGGGATCAAGTCCGCAACCCGGGTACGTGCCCCAACCAGGAATCGAACTGCAAACTTCTGGATCCTAGGTTGACACTCAACCACTGAAACATGCTGGCCTGGCAGTAACAAACTTTTAAAAAGTCTAACTAAACAATTTAATTATTCTAATTATACCAAGTTCTATATACTTCACTGGGGGGGAATCGCCCTAGCCAGTCTGGCTCAGTGGTCAGAGCATCAGCCTGTGGACCGAAGGGTCCCAGGTTTGATTTCGGCCAAGGGCACGTAGGCTTGATCCCTGGTCTGGGAATGTGTGGGAGGCAACCAATCGATGTGTCTCTTCCACATCGATGTCTCTCTCTCTCTCCCCCCTCCCCTCCGCTCTCTTTCAAAAGCAATGGAAAAAATATCCTTGGTGAGGATTAAAAAAATAAAAGGGGAGGGGGCATGTCATTAATATTTTTTAAAAAATTCATGACAAGCACTAATTTTCCTCCCATGCCATTAAATATAAGTTTTCTATAAGAGCTAATTTTGTATTATGACCAGCAGAAATACCAAAGGTTCTCCATGTTACTAAAGACAGACTACAAAGTAGGGGCAACGATCCACTTAGCTGGCGACAGAAACGGGCCTGTCCTTCAGTGTGAGAGGGACGGAAAGGCAAGGCCTTCGGCCTTTTTACTTCCACAACTTTCACCATGTTCTTCAACGTTTCTCTGGGTCAAATGGCTTAACTACCATGCTGGGCTTTTATCAGTTTATGGGAGTTAGTGATGCCAGTTAGAACAGAACTGAGACCAGAGCTGAGGATGCTGTAGCCCAGGACTGGCCTCTTCCTTAGACTTTGCTACCTCACTGTGGGGAATGGTCAACTCTGCTCAAAAGCCACGAATATCACTTGCTGGTCTTCATGCCTCATTACTTCTAATTTCCTTAAAATAGTTCTTAAAGTTTACTAATAGGGTTAAAACTCCCAGCCCTGCAAGTCAATGCCTGAGAAGAGGAATAGATCACTTTCTAAGGCATACTTGAAAAACTGTAATGTCTTTTCTTCACGCTTTTCTCTATCTTGTTCACTTTTGGTTTAAGTGACTTCTCATAACCTACAAATGCCCTAGTCTGTAGGCAGCATGAAGACACCTGGGTATGTTTGAAAAAGTTCAAAGCTCCTTTCTAAATGAAAGCTTTATGTCAAACAAGACAGATAAATAGGAAATTCTAACCCAGGTATTGGCAAAACTTTTTCTTAAAAGGCCAGAGAGTAAACATTTGAGGTATTGCAGGGCACATGGTTTTTGTCACCATAAAGACCAAGTAAACAAATGGGTATTGCAGGCCCAGTAAAGCTTTACTCACAAAAATAGGCAGAAGGCCAAATCGTTTTCTGACACCTGTTCTACCCTCCCTTGAAGTTCTACTTACCCACATCTCAATTAAAATGCCTATTCTTTCACCGGAGCTCATTCAAATTCAATACTCTTCCAGAAGAAAACCTCACTTCCCCCTGAATACTATCCTGCCCGTTATACTCACCTGGAAATTAATGTTCCATTTATTCAGGTGTTTCCTAACTGCTATTTTAGACACTTTGTACATCCAAATTATCACTAACTCTTTTTTCAAAAGTGAGGAATTAATGGTAGGAAAAAGGAATAGGGCAAAAAAGAGGTAAATGAACAGAATCATTAATGCAAAGGCCTGAGAAGGCAGATTCTACTTCCAGCTGGATTTCTTTATAGTATCAGTAATTCCACAGTTCTGTTTGCAAACCTAAAATACTATGCCACTGTATGTTCTGTTTACCAGCTAACAGAAGAGCAAACTTCTAGATGTCTCAAGAGATTCCTCTTTAAGTGTGAGGTTTTATTCAAGGTTGTTAGGGAGTGTAGAGGCAGGACAGGCTGCTCAATATTTTGAGAGAAGTTAAAATATAAGCTCTCCTGGCAATGTTTCCTTTAGCTACCAGCACGCTTCTGGTACGCTGGTGAGTACAGAGGGTTCTTGCATGTCATATGGGCATAATAATAGAGAAAGGAAGAAAAGGAAGGATGGTAACTGTGAAACAGTTCAAATGCCTTAAATTCAAAGAAAACGAAGAACTCACCGGGCCCAGCACCACCCACCAACTTCCTCCTCTTCTTCGCCTTCTTCCGTTCTGAACCGGGAGACTGCGCCGCTCCCCCGTTGCTTAGTACCGTAGATTTCTTGGGGGATTTTTTAACTTTTACATTTTCTACTTTTTCTTCAGATATATCTCCATGTTGAGCTTCTGACACACCCTTATTCATAGACTGCTTCAGGGATTTTTTAACCTTTCCACCTCCCACTGTTTCTTTAGATGTTTCTCCATTTTGGGCTTCTGACAAGCCTCCGTTCATAGACTGTTTTAGGGCTTTTTTAACTTTTCCACTTCCTATAGTTTCTTCAGACACATGTCCATTTTGAGCTTCTGATAGGCTTACATCCCAGGTCCCTGTTTAAAACAGAACACATTGTAACAAAGAAGGGCAAGTTGATTTACAAACACTGGAATCCCAAATGAGAACTTCCACTGGAATCCAAATGAGAACTAAAATGATTTAGCCTTTACTTCCCTTTCATATACAGTAAGTCCTCACTTAATGTCACTGATAGGTTCTTGGAACTGCAGCAAAACCATGTATAATGAAACCAATTTTAACATGGGCTAATTGACATAAATGAGAGCTAAGTTCCTATGGCATCTCATTAATGTTACAACAGACAACAGTGAACAAAATGCTATTCGAGGATCTGCTGTCCATTATTAAGACCACTTGCAACTTCATGGTGCTGCACTACAGGACAAGTAAATTTCCTTTAAGGAAAACCACCATCTCTGTCCTTAAGAGTTAAAAGTCCAGGGCAGGAAAAGTTCATGAGGTTAAATATTTAAACAGCTGGGGCGACACAATGGTAGTTACAAAATATACATTTTAATATAGATATCTGTTAACAGGTACATTAAAAACAACTTTTATCTTACTCACACTACTACTTCTTACATAAATACAACTTCAAAACACTTACCCTGAACTTCCCTAGATGTTCGTGAACTGAAAATTGTTGATGAAACCACTGTGTCCCCATACTTACATATATACAAATATGTGAGAATGTCTTTACAAAAGTTTCCACGTTTATGTGTAGAAAAACATAACATCATCTTTTATTTTAATTGCTACCTTTAACTACCAAAAAGTAGTTCGAAGAAATGCTGTATTAGTCTATTAAAAAAGGGAAATAGAAGGAAATTCCAAAAACATTATTTCTAAAACCCATAAACCTTCTTGCTCCTCCAGGATTTCTTCCAAGCAACTAATCTCTGCCGAAAACCAACTGGGCTAAGGCATTAGACCTCAAAAAACTGCCTGTGTGGGTTTACATCTTATTGTACTGGACCCAAAGAGCTTAATCAGAACCACCTCAAGACCTCTGGCTCCCCGTCGGAAAGGGAGGACTGCAAATGAGGCAGGTAAGCAAGGCGACACTCACGCAAAACCCTTTTTACTTGTCTTTGTGAAAGACGCAAATGCGTAGAAGCTCTTAAAGAATGTATAAAGTTGTAAGCGATGGAAGGTAGGGCTGGCGAGACCGCGTTGGACGCGTGCATGAGACACGCTCCTGGAGTTGTGAACATGCAAGTGCCACGGGAGCAGAGCGCGCGCGGACGCCGACAGGGGAAGGAGAGCTTTGCGACAGGCTAACATGGGCTTCTTTTGAAGAAATACAGACATTAAGTAGATGATGTAAAAGCAGGTGCACGGAGATAAAGTCCCACGTGTCCGGTCGGAAACAGGTGAGAGGTGGGGACGAGGTGGGACCCGAAAGCGGTGAGGGAGAGAGTGGGGAGGAGGGGAGGGGACAGGCCGCCTCCGCAGGAAGAACGCCTGGCGCCTGGAAGGAGGCTCCAGAGGCTCCGGCTCCAACTCCGCACAGAACCCCCGACGGTCAGAACCGGCGGGTGTGAGGCCACCTGCGAGCCGCGACGACTCGGGGCTGCCCCGGGCGGCCTCGTCCCTCTCAACAAGCACCCGTGCTCCAGCGACGCGGCGGCGACACCCGAGCCTCG